TTTGGGTTTGGTAGATAATACAGAAGATTCAATTGTTACTCGATTTCTTTCACTCTATTCGAATCCTCGTCTACGAGGACCTCTTCATCTCGCCATGGGATGGATCAGTTTTTGGTGGAGTTTCAAAGATTATGATGACTTCTGCATTCAACTGTATTCTAACAGCAATATTTTCAATAGATGTATACCTGTAGGTTCGCTTTTGTTCGTTAGTGCTCTCGATGATTTAGCTTGTTTACCATCGCCGTCGATTGTGTACAATATTCTCGATAGTTTGTTAGATATTCATGAAGGAATTTGTCTTTACAAAATTGAACTACTATCTGCTCTAGATCAATTATCGATAGAAGTGATTACTCAATGGTTTAATTTGTTATTTCTTAGGGAGAATTTAAGCATTGCATTGAAAATGTTACATATAATCTATGACCAATTGGCCACACAGCAAGTATTACCAAAATGGATAACACCAATTATTTGTGAAATTCTTTGGAGACAATTTGGATTACATAACGAAGAAATGAATATATACACCGATCGAATTTTAATGATGATCTGTGTGATAAACAAGAATCGTTTACCAACGCCTTCTGGAACTATACGAGCGTATCTTCTTTCACAAGACATTCCGACAGAAAGCATTCATTCATCTATATTTGCTGTTTTGATTTCATTATACGGCGGCCTTGCGTATTCTAAGACAAGACGAAAAACATCGGTCGTCTTCACCGCTCGTTGTATTCATCGTGATTCATCTTTGTCATCTATTTTGATTGAATATATGAATGATACAATAACGAATCGAGTAGTTAAAATACAAGATTTAATTGAACAATGTCATAAAATGGTAATGACAGCACATCAGGACATGTTAGTCTGCCAGCTATTTATAGTTTAGTCGTTTTATTTTGTTTTCATGATATTGATGGATCAGCTAATTATGAACAATATGTGGGATCGGAAGTTTGGCAACAAGCCATCGGTCATATGAAAATTGTTCTTCTTTATTTGCGTGAATTCTTTTGCATATACCCGCGTTCGAAATTTAAAAATAATCTAACTGATATTTTCGAGCAGTTTTTAATAGACTCCAAAGAGGATGTTTTCGATTTTGCGCAAGCTATTTCACATGCTTATTCTCGACTGTTATGTGCGAAGGGATCATTTTTAGATAACACACATGATCGTACGAACTACAGTCTCATTTTAATCAATATTCCAATGCCACCAACAATCGACCTGTCAAATATCACCGATTGGGATGAAGAGACACTTGTCAGACGATTACCATTCGTCTGTCATGTAAATTCGTCAACGTTTATTATTGAAACCGAAGAACTCGAAGCTGGAGATCTCCAGCTGCTTTCGGCATGACATTTTCCAATATCTCCGTCAATCACAATGTTTTGAGAATAGAGTCGTGTTCAGCCTGGTTAATAGCTATACGACTACTAGTGTTTCAAAATATTTGACTAACAAGTTTTTTT